GTATCTTCACCTTTGAAATAAAGTGCTTTGTTTGTGGTATCCCGCAGATATCTGAGGATCCATTTGAATGCTTCCCAGTGTACATTGCCCAGATTATTCATATAACTGCTAACAGCTCCCACTGCTTGAGCAATATCTGGTATAGTGCAAACCATGGCATACATCAGACTTCCAATTGTTGAGGCATACGACACATTTACCATGTGTGCATGTTCTTCTTCTATCTTTGGTGACTGTTCTTTGGATAGTTTAAAATGAACACCTAAAGGTGTACTTACTGGTTTAGCATCTTGTATGTTGAACCTGGAGAGTACTTTGTTGATGTACTCAGCCTGTGATAACATCAAAGTCCTCGACTTTGTGTCTCTCTTAATCCTCATCCCAAGAATATGCTTTGCAGCGCCCATATCATTCATTGCAAACTGCTTCGACAATTTTGGCTTCAAGTTTATAATTTCTTGCATGTATGAGCCTGCAACGAGCATTTCATCAACGTACAACAATAAAATAATGAAGTTGTTGTCGAACTTGTTGATGTAGCAACAATGATCTGCTTAGCATCTGGTAAAACCACTGCTACCTATGAAGCTATCAAACTTCTTGTACCACTGTCTAGGAGCTTGTTTTAAACCATACAAGCTCTTCTTCAACCTACATACCAGGTTTTTCTTGTCCGCCTCTATGAAGCCTCCTGGCTGCCTCATATAGATTTCTTCCTCCAAATCACCATGAAGGAAAGTTGTCTTTACATCTAACAACTCAAGATGTACAGTCTCTGCAACTACAATTTTCAACACCAGTATGATTATAAACAGTTTCACGATTGAAGAGAAAATTTCATTATAGTCAATACCTTCTTTTTGCTGAAAACCTTTGACAACCAATATTGTTTTATAGCGTTTGCTCCTATCGTGCTATTTTTTTATCCTGTAAACCCACTTGTTATGGAGTACTTTCTTGTCTGGTTGTAATTCAGCTAATCCCACGTCTGATTTGACATAAGTGAGTCCATCTGATCTTTCAATGGAAGACTCCTACTTGACTGAATCATTCACCTGTATTGCTTCATCATAGCACTCTGGTTCACCATTGTCAGTCAGCAACAAGTAGTGTAAATAAGGTGAATAACGTTGGGTTGGTTTAGGAATTTTGGAGGAGCGTCTCAGTTCTGGTGTGCCTAGTTCTTTTTGAACTGCTTCAGGACTGATCTGAACATCATTTCCAGAAATCTCCTCAAACTCAGCAAATTTCTTTGTTTCTATGGTTGACATGTATTTGTACATCATATTCTAATTGAAAATTACATCTCTGCTTCTGATGATCTTTCAATTTTCATAGTCCCAAAAATGGTAACCAAACTCATCACCATCATAACCAACAAGGACACATTTGTTGGACTTAGCGTCAAGTTTACTTCTTTATGCAGAATTTATGTGTACATAAGAAATACAACCAAACACTCTTAAGTGTGAAAGGTTTATTTCTTTTCTGCTCCAAACTTCCTCTGGTATTCCATCATCCAAGGGAACTAAGGGTTCACGATTGATCAAGTAAGTTGCAGCGTTAATAGCTTCAGCCCATAGCAATTTGTTCATTCAGAGTTATGTTCATGCGCTCTGCTACGCCATTCTGCTGCGGTGTCATTGGAATTGTTGTCTCCATCTTCATCTAATTATTTACGCAAAATTCTTTGAATCTACTATTTTTATATTCTTCTCCATTATCAGACCTCAACTGCTTGACTTTCAAACCAATCTCATTTTCCACCATGGCCTTCAATTTTCTGAAGGTATCAAATACTTCTGATTTCTTCATCATAAAATAAACCCACACCTTCCTTGTAGAATCATCGATGAAGGTGACATAATATAGTGAGCCTGTAAGAGATAGAACTAGAGATGGTCCCCATATATCAGTATGAACCAACTCTAACTTTTCAGTCTTGGGTGTCTTGTCAATCTTTGCAAAATTGACTTTGTTTTATTTGCCAAAGATGCAATCCTCACATAGTCCAACATTTATTCTTTTAGATCCGGCAACTTCCTTTTTGACAAAAGTGTATTCATCCCTTTCTCACTCATATGGTCAAGCCTTTGGTGCCATAGGTTTAATTTTCCATCAACATCTTCTACTGCAATGATATTCTCCAAATTTGAGGTTACATAGAGAGTATCAGTCTTCTTACCATGAGCAATGATGAGTGCTCCTTTGGTAATCTTCCATTCACAACTTGAAAATGTTGTACAATATCATTCTCCATCAAGCTGTCCTATAGAAATCAAATTTCTTTTGAGGCCAGGAATATGTCTCACTCCTTTCAGCTTCCAGGTGGTCTGGTTTGGCAACTTTAATCGGATTTCTCTTTTTCCAACGATCTTTAAGGTTTTATCATCAGCTAGATGAACCTTCCCAAATCACCACTGACATAGTTTTCCATGATTTCTTGGCATGGGGTAGCGTGGAAAGATGCCCCTAAATCCAAGATCCATGATTCAATCGGACTGTTGACGCTTAGAATCATGACATCACCTTTTTTTCTCTGTCATATTGCATATTCTTGTGTGTCGGTATCTTTCTTCAGTGCTCAACAATCTTTTTTAAAGTGACCCTTCTTGCCGTAATTATAATAGTTAAAATCTTTTTTCCCGTTCTAGATTTCGATCTGCCATGATTTAGATTTCTTTTTGGTGTTCTCCCTCTAGACTCTGTGTGCAAGGCTGAGGAGCTTGATGCTTCACTCGATTCTCTCTGTCAAACTCAATACCAAATCCCGAATATCGTCGAATTTCAATTTATTGTTTCCCGATGAGCTGCTAACTGTTGTAACTGTAGCATTCCAACTGTATGGTAAAGATGATAAGAGAATTAAAGCTCGAACTTCATCATCGAATTAAATTTCTACGAAACTCAATTGGATTGTGATTGTGTTGAGTTCATTTATGTGTTGAGCCACTGATGCCCATTCCGCCATCTGCAAATTGAATAATCGCCTCATCAAGTGAACATTGTTTGAGGCCGATGACTTCTCATACATACTAGAGAGAGTCGTCATAATACTCGCCGTGGTCTTTTTCTTTGCTATGTTGAAAGCAACATTGTAGGATAATGTCAGTCGGATAACTCCGAGGGCTTGTCTGTCGAGAAGAACTCAGTCTTCATCTTTCATGCCCTATGGTTGCTTTCCTAAGAGAGATTGATATAGCTTTTTCTGGTACAAAAAATCTTCAGTCTGCATCTTCTAAAAGCCAAAGTCCGCACCATCGAACTTCTCAATTTTCACCTTCATTTTTTGTCTGCAACCATCGCTCCCACTCGAATCTGGCTTCTTTTGGATCGTTTCTAACAATTTCTGCGAACCACCGTATATTAGAACACCTCCATCGATAAACTCGTATCACCGACCAAATTTTAATATTCACATGAATAGTAGCATTGCAGAAAAACTGACAAAATTCACCACCAAAAGCTCTTGATACCAATTGTTAGGAAATTAGACAAGTAATTTCCCTATAACCAGATTAGTGAGAATACGAAATAAAAGTAAAATAATAATACCCGAAATTGATAACGAAGTTCGGCCAATTATGCCTACGTCTCTAGACTGTTGCAGATCTTTTACTAAAGGGAAAAAATTTATAGGTATTTACAAAACACTCACAAGAAAACTCTCTAAACTCTTTAGTATTGGGAGAAATAAATGATTTTGGGATGATTTTGAAGCTAAATGGGTTAGGGTATTTGTTGTTGAAGCTAAATGGGTTAGGGTATTTATTGTTGAAGCTTAAGGACTAATCTTATAAATACCCTAAAGTACATTAACTAAATTTGGCAATTTTCCCTTACCACAATTTCAACAAAATCTGCTCCTTTTGACTTCACCATTCGGTGCCCCTTTTTTGATCCATTCGGTGCATCAATGCACCGAATAGCTTGACTTTCAACAACACTAATAGCTGAAATGGATGGACAATAATAACCTTGTTCTGGTGTACAACAAGTCCCCTTAGCAGCCCAAAAAGGTGAATTTCAATATGGTTCCCCGTTACATTAGCTGTGAAATTCCTAGTTATTGCTCTCTCAACACCACCTGTCTCTTTCGATATATCAAAATCCCTTAATTATCAGATTCCCTGATAAAATGTTGATGAGATACTAGAGCGATAAGATTTCTAAATGTAGAATTTAGTGAACACAATTATCATCATAGAAAGAAACATCACAAATAGAGGGAATACATTTTACAATATACAACTTAGAATGGCATGAATTTTTGCTTCAAACGAAACATTACTGAATATAAACATCAAAAACACGCCTTACTAGACTCTTCCAAGACTGTAAGCTTCTGTATTTGAAACTTGCTTTGGCAAAGAACAAGGTTACATTATAGACCCCATTCTCGAGGCTTAGACCATAGTATCTGAGTGATCCAGGGGATAGCCTTGAACTCTGATACAGCTCCGGAGTGTCGGTACCTCTCACTTGCGATGAGGCATTCTGCATATATTCTTGATTTTGTCTATCTGAAAACAAACCTACATTGCCAACTGACCACTTCTGTGTACTGGTTAACATAAATTTTGCTGTGTTGAGAGTGTCATCATCAGCCTCGAATGATATCCCATCAGATGTCATCTGTGGTCCGCCACATTTGATTGAGAAGTTTGCATCTTCCAATGCCAACATTAAAATGTGTTAGCTAAGTATTAAGCACTAGTCAAGATTAAATATTATAATTAAGACCTCAACAAAGATAATGGCTCAAAATTTTGAACTAGTACATCGTGGAGGATTTCTATTGCATGGGAAGTTTCTTTGAAGGCATTCTAATCCTGGAAATATCCTGAGGAATTTCAAAACACTCCTGGCATAGAAACTGAAAGAATTCATTGCATAGAAGAGATAATAGCAAGCACTTGTCTTTATAGAGGTATAACTTATAAGAATTCTTTAAAGAAAGTTTAGGGGAAGGGAAAGTCAGGTGTTGAAGGAACAGTAACTCACCTTATATTTGAGCTACTAGGTGTGAAGTTGTTAGCTACAAAGTTCCTACATGAATTCCATGAAACTAGCTCTTATTGGTATTTATTTGCAATTGATTACATTTTACAATGTGATATGAACAATAAGAAAGTATGCTCAATTTAAGCCCCAAAAATGGCATAAGCTTCAAAACAGTGTTTGAATTAGAAAGAAAATATAAGGAAGTAGCCTGGTCTAAAATACATACAGTTTTAAGCATGAGTTTACCCAAGAAGGCAAGTTTCCTGATAGTAAATTGTATGATAAATCTCTGCATAAAAAAGTATATCAGACAGCAAGTATATGCATACCATAATCAGAAGGATTTAACTGTTTTTCTATTTGATGGTTCACTGAATGGAGATACCGACTATGATTAATATCAGATGTTGGACATTTGAAAGTAACATTACATGAAATAAGTTACTGTTACTGTTACTGTGGTAGAATAACTTACATGGTCTGAAGAGTTTCACTCTTTTGGCTGAGAATAGAACCTGATAGACTATTATTTCCAAGAAACCTGGCCATTTCAGTAGCATGAATGAAGGGAATAATGTCAAGCGAAAACCATAAGGCTGGACCCTGAGATTTTCAAATATTAAAGGCGATGGTTTTCATTTTTCTGTTGCTTACAAGTCTCTGAGAGAATTCATAGTGAACAAAGCCCTTGGAATTTGGCCTGTTAAGTTGTTGAAACTCAAATCCCTGGAACCGTAAGAAATTAGAAACATGAAGTAAAGTGAATATCATAAATTACTCAAGCGATTAACTTTTAATAAAACTTGCAGCTTTTGTAAAGATTGTAATTCTGCCATATAAGATGGCAAAATGCCAGTGAGCAACACATTTTTTAGAACCCTATAGGATTATTTTTAAAAAAAAAGGAAAAATAAGTATGTTAATCAGATAAATTCAAATAGAGTATACTTCACTTACAAGAAACCATATGAATTTAAGAAGTAAAGAATATTCTTCACTTACAAGTCAGTCAAGTTCTTCAGATTTCTTAGGAACTCAAGAGAAGAACTCCCAATTTATATGCCTCCAATTCGCCTACATGTTATATGAGCATAAAAAACAAGTGCTTGTTATATACACATAAATTCATGAAAACATACATATATCATGCATGAATATGCAGACAAAGCAGAAAGTCCAATGGTGGAGGAGAGTATACCATCAAGAAAGCAAGATATATCTACATACAGAGAACTCAAGGAGGTTAAATTCACAAAATTGGATGGTATTGAACCTTCAAAAGAGTAACCTTCTAATCTCCTGTACAAACATTTGGCTGACTAATCAAATTGATGAAAAATCTTGGCAAAGCTATCCATCCTTTTTTATGCCTGAATCAGAGAGAACTTATATGAAGATTATAATCAAGATGTTTTGATGAATTACAACGATGTAAGCTTTGTCCAGTTATTGCCAACAAAGTCTGGTATTTTGCCTGTGAATGCATTGTCAGATGCCCACCTGAAATTCAACAAAGCTTGCAGTTATTAATAAAATTTGTAGGACCAGGAGAGAGACAATAAGAATAAAGAATGATTTTTCTTATATAATTCGTAGTATTTTAAGGTTAGATAATGTTGAAGGAATCTCACCACCCAATCTACAACTGTTAATGTATCTGTCAAATTCATAAACCTATCTCAGTTATAATTTCATAATGTAACCTTTAAAGACAACCATGTACGTCCCTTACAAAGATTTAAAGAAATAACTTACAATTGCTCAAGGTTGGCTGAATTACAAAGTTCTGGAGGCAATGTTCCATAAAAATCATTATTATCAAAAGACCTGCATGACATTGGTCCACATATAATAATTTCGAGAGAAAAACTTAAAAAGAAAAAAATCTTCATAAATTATATCGTTAATTTCTATTGAGAGAATAACTGATGTTATCTAGTTTTGATTCAAATGGTATTAAAGCAACAACACTATAGCAGAATATGTACTAAAGTAACTAAAACTTCATGCTTATTAAGGGGTAGAAATATCGTAAGATATTATCAACAAATTTATCCTTTCACATAGGCATTAGGTAGAATTTAAGAGTAATTGTTTGCTTAAAAACAAAACTATTTTATCATATGACAAAAATGATGTGCATGGCAGAAATCGAACCCGCATGGACAAGCCCAAACTATTTGTAGTAATGCCCGATAACCATTCCGTCAAGTCCACTATGTTGTTACTATAATTTTCATTTTTGGTATATTATCAAATTTAATCAAGAACCGTTTACACATTGTTTAAAGCAATGTTATTAAAACCGGACCGGACCGGCCGGTTCGACCGGTTGAACCGTGAACCGGTGGGCTGTCCGGTCCAGTTAACTCCCAAAACCGGATGAGCACAGAATCGGTAAAGAACTGGAAGAACCGGCTGAAAACCGGTAAAACCGAGGTGAATCGGCTAAAAACCAGCAAAACCGGTTTGAACCGCCAGTTCACTTTTTTTCTTTAAAAAAAAATAAACCAAACGACGTCGTTTGTTCAACGAACCGAGTCAAATTCGAGTATTGCTGAGCTCGACTCGAACTCGAAAACTTTAAAAGTAAGCTCAACTCAACTCAAAAACTCACGAGCTAAAAATTATAAAGTTCAACTCGAACTCGAAATATAATACTAAAACTTGAAATCGAAAATGCTCGAACGCAAAAAAAATTTAGAAGTTCGATTGAAGCCTAAAATTTGAGCTCAATTGAAGCGAAAGAATAGTTCGCTTTGTGCTCACCAAAAAACTCTATGATTTTAAATGTCAAATTACCTCTACTATTTATAGAAGTAAGTTGGGATGCTCTTCTATGTTTCTTAGCTATGTGGGATTGTTTTGTTCTCATATTTTTACTCTTTAAACTTTTGAAATGCTCTTCTATGTTTCTTAGCCATGTGGGATTTTTTTTAAAACAATTAAACCAAATTACATCATTTGTTATAATTTTTTAAGCCCCAATTTTATTTTTTTATTATAGTTATATAATTATATTTATTATTTAATATGTTTTACCTTAAATATTATGTTGTAGTTGATTTGAATCATTTTGTTTCACTTGATTTTATGGTTTTTAATTTATATATGTTATGACTTGTGATATTTTTATACCTTTTAATATATATATGTTATGACTTGTGATATTTTTATACCTTTTAATATTGTAAACTTAAAAAGAGTGTTACATATATATTAATATTGCTTTGAATATTATGTAAAATTTAAAAAAAATATTTTATATAAAATCCGGTTCAACCGCGGTTGAACCCGGTTGAACCAGTGAACCAGTACCTTCACCGGTTCAATGTCCGGTCCAGTTTTAAAAACATTGATTTAAAGTTAACGTAATTCTTGAAAAATAACTTGTCAATATTTTTGCACAAAAATCAAACAAGAAACAAAATTTAGGATTTTACCATGCACACAAATCGTACCACAAGTCTAGTTCTATAATTCTATCTCCCCAAAATAATCTCTCTCTTGTTCTTATTTCTTGGTTTGCTCATGTTTTCATTTTAGTGAGGTTTATCAATCTGAATGAGAAACTGCTCGATGAAACTCCTAAATGAGTAGCTATGCATTGTGTGTTAGACTAGTCTATTGTTTGTGGTTAGACTGTTGAGTCATTGATACGATAATTTTCTTCAAATTGGATTTGATCTCGTCGATTGCACGTGTTTGATTTCAGTTTCTGGTAAGGCATCTAGATTTACTCCACATTACTTTATGATTTTTAAGTTTATTAAATTGTGGTATAGTTTCTGATACGGTGATTCTCTTCAAACTGTTCGATTGCATGTTGCTATCTTCGATTGTCTTTATTTTTCTGTTAAATTCTGTCGTTCAGCGATGCCCGACCATTGTGCCGGAGTATAAACAATTTTCATCAATCTTAAATTTTAGGTTTTCTTTTAATTAGATCCTTAATTCGATTAACTAGGATAAATATTGTAGCTTTAATTTTAGAGTTAGTTTGTTTAGGTCTGTAAAATTTCATAAATTAATTCATGACTCAGACAAATTCTTAATTTTAAATTTAATTATGTTTAGTCCCTTAATTAGTTCTGATATTTATCTTATATAACATGAATGAGTAGCTTTCAGTTTGACAGTCTATCTATTTGTACCATCTCTATCATCAGTCTTCCTTTAGACACTAGAGAGAGCTAATGAAATTATTGAAAGTGTGCTCGAGTTTTATATTTTTCGAGATGGATCATGAGGGCCAAAAGCTTGTATGAGTTGCATCTTTTTCAACTATGAAAGATGCACTCGATGCATAGAATCACCTTCAGGTATTAAGAATTTATAAGTTTATAACCTATCACCACTAGTTTTAATAAATTTTGGAAAAAATAAGTTCTTCTGACGCTTCGCTCCCCACTGGAGCAAAGTGGTGTGTTTTTGTTGATAATCTGAGTAGAAGAATGTCGAGGACTGCCTTATGGGAGCGGTTTAAACACTATGGAAAGATTAATAAAGTGTTTATTCATGTTATTAATATAAGGCCAAAGTACATAGATGTGTTGGGAATCATGGTCTTTCCCGCTTTATGAAGTTAAGATAGACACTTAGAGATTACGGATAGAAAGAGAGCACAAGAGTATAATTCTCCAATTTGGAGATTATTTCACTATACAAAATAATAGTAGGATTACAAGAATGTGTTCACAAAATTTTACTCACACTTGGTGGCTCACTCAAGCTTGAGGATAAAGACTTCCCAAGCTATCTCTATTATATCTCAACAAGGCTCTCTAACTCTCTTAGTATTTTTGGATTTCTTGGATGGTTAGAAATGAAGTCTCTCACCCCTATTTATACTACTCCACCTCCACAATGAACAGTGGAGATTACTTACATCCAAGGGTAAAGATTAATTATCTATAATGCTCCGCACACTCTGAGAATCTCTAGACTCTTCAACTCGCTTTCATATTCTTCCATACTCTTCCATAAGATTCCACACATCTCTAGAATATTCTAGAGGATTCCACACTCTTCCACAAGCTTATAGAGAGTTAAACACTTCTCTAAAGTTCTTCGAAATGTTCTAGAAAAGTATACACTTCTTCAGAAAGCTCTAAATTTTTTTAAAACCTCTCCAATTAAGGAGGGATCCAACAATATGCGACGTTCGCTTTTGTCCATTTTGAAACCAAGATAGATAATCTCAAGGCCATTGAGAAACTCAATAACACTATGATTGATGGGAAAAGGATAACTGTTGTGGTGGTGAAGTATCAGAAAAGAGATGAGCAAAAGAAAAAGAGGGGGAGGAGTTCAGGAGTCGTTAGGGAAATAGAGAAAATGACATATTTTAACAAGTTTTGTGATGATAGATCTTATAAAGAGTCATTGATGGGAATTAAGAATGATCAAACGGGTGATGGAAGAAGAAAGAATAATAGTGATAGGGAGGTAAAGAGTCCTCTGAATATGTTCATACCGATGAAAGAAATGGAGTAGATTAAGTTGTCATATACAATTATTCTTAAATCCACTGTTGAATTGGAGTTTATTCAAAATGTATTACAGAGTGATGACTTCAAGGTAAAAGTGGCATCTTGGGGCTATGCAAAGAAGATTACATTGTCACCTTTTCATCTAAGGAGGAGAAGAAGAAAGCGATAGAGAACAGAGCGAATGATTTAGAATTCTGGTTTGAAAAGTTGGTCTCTGTGTACCAAGAGGGATTAATATCTATGGCTTTTTGCTCAGTCACATTAATAGATGTGCATATGAATTGCTGGTGTGGAGACTTCTTTTTGAAACTGACGTTGAGATGGGGATCATTGGTAAAGATACAATATGAGACTCTCCTAAAAGTCAAATTCTGTTTAGCAAAGTTAGTGTTAAGGAAGGCGAGTCTGTTTGATATTCCTGAATACATTATAATAAAAAAGAATAGAAGGTCGTATAAAATCATGATTAAGGTCGATTTGATGGAGGATAACTTCACAGATGTTCTTTGGAATAAATCAGAAGT